CTCCCTCTCCCTCCCCGCTCTGACTCCTCTCCTCCCGCCGGGAGCTGAGGTGCGGAGCCTCGGGTCCCGCCGGGCCGGGGCTTGTATCTTACTCCCTTCACGGTAAGTTCTTACAGGTGTGGATGTGGTCTGGCTGTTGTCCTGTGTCTTCTGGTCTCTCTTTTAGGATTAGTTATATTTGTTGTATTTTCAAAAAATATACATGGTTTTGGGAGGAGATTTCCGCTGCTCTACTCACCCTGCTATCTTGATTCTCTCTCTTGCTGCATTTTTATATGCAGTAAATTCATTGCTTTTTCCAAATTCTCAATGAGATCTCTGTCTTTAAAAAGCCAAGGAACCACTAATCTAGTGAATATCCCCTCTTTCCCAGTTTAACAGAAGGGAGACCAAATCCCAGTTTAACAGAAGGGAGACCAAATCCCAGTGCAGTTTCACAATTCATTTGAGATAGGAAATGGTAGAGCTGGGTTTGGATGCAGGCAGGATGACTTCTGTGTGGTCAGGAAGTACTGATTAAATTATTACCTCAGATCCAGCTTCTAAAGGGGAGGAATGTCAATGATCTGCATATTTTATTCTGATCGTTAACCTGGGCTTAGGCATTGAATCTCCCAAAATGGGGCTTGACCGCTGATCATATCTGCTGCCCTTGCTCTAAAATGAGCTCTTAAGTCAAACCAAACCAAACCAAAATTAAAGCAAATATAAAACACAAACAAACAACAACAAAACATTTTTCTGATTATGGAAGTAATATGCACCCATTGTGAAAACTTTGGGACAAAATAGAAAAGTTATGAAGAAGAGATAAAATTTGTTCATATTTGGGATCCACTATCTGGTAGCCTAACTTTCCTTATTTTTTCTGTTATTAAAGTTAATCTCATACTGTTAATATTATAACATTATTATGATGTGAAAATAACATCATATGATATTACTAAAGTCTTTATAAAATATTGCTTATAAAGATGACACAGTTTTCTATTGTATAGATATATCATATTAATTCCTGTATTATTGTTTTGTTTATTTCCAAGTTTTTATTGTAGTTCATAAAACTGCAGGAAACAACCATGTATACCCAACTTTGCATGAGGATAAATTCCAGAAGAGGAATTCACACATCAAAGATATGACTATTATTAAAACTCTTAATGTAGGTTACCCAGGTCTTTTCCAGAAAGATTGTTACTTTGCTAATACCCACAAGTCCTATGACAGGTCAGGTCTCACCATACTCTTGCCACTGTTCACTAACAACAAGAAAAGTTTGTAGCAAGTGCTGAATAAATGTCATTTCCTGTACTTTATTTTTATTGCTTATTGGTGTTTTCTTATTATAATGAAAGCTCTGCAAGGGCTAGGATTTCTATTAATTTTGTCTACTCCACATCTCTAATTCTTCAAGAAGTGCTTGGAGCACAGCATGTGCTCAGTGAGTATTTGTAGAAAGGATGAATAAACAAATGAATGAACAGATGTATCCTTTGAAGTTTTCTCCTGTGTTTTACTCCTGATGCTTCAATCATCTATAAGCCCACTCTATGGTCACTGCTTCCCTGAAATATGCTGTTGTCTTGTGTTTTCATTGCTTAGGTTTATACATGTTTCTTTCTCACAGAGAGCACACTGCTTTAAGGTCAGGGCCACTGTCTTACATGCCTTTCAATCATTTGCCCCTCCTGCCCAGTGTTTGATGCCCTGAAAAACATTTTAAGTGCTTGAAATTATTTACTAATGAACATCTTTTATTAATAAATTATTTACTCAGTGGTTAATTTAGTTTTTGTGTTCCACACAGGTAGAAGCCACCAATCAAATAATTGCTATTGAACAGTCCCAAGCAGATAGAAGCAAAAAGATTTTCAATCCTGTTAAGTAAGAAATTCTTTACTGAATTCCTTTGTGAATGTTTTTGGGAAGAACACTATTTCCCAATTTATTTCACTTATTTAAAATGAATCCCACTACAGAAACTAAATTAGTAATAAATGTTAATATTATGAAAATATGTTTATCAACAAAAATATGCATCAAAATAATTGCACAAAAAATTCCTTACAGAAAGCTCCCATTTTAAAGTCATCATTAGTTTTATAATCATTTATTACAACCTTTCTAACAACTTTGGTTCCTTGAGATAGAGTACAGTTAGATCTTCCTTTTAATTTTTCATTTAAATTGGCACAATGCTGATTGAATTAATGCAATCCAAGGTTCTGGATGCATTGTGTGCTTACAATTAGTTTTTTATTATTTTTTAAAGCTATGCTGATAGACTGCCTAATGGGTTCCAAACTAGAAAGAGTACAGGACTGGGGTTACCCGCACCAGTATGGCCATCCAGAGTGAGCATTCACACTGCAGAGTGACCTGGAGTGAGATTAGCTTTTCAGCTGTTTTGACTGGGATGCAGTTGAGATGTTTTGACCATGAGTCAGTCCCATCTGCACTGGGAAGAAGCTGGTCCTTTAGCCCTGACAGAGCAGAAAGGAGCTCAGCCCAACGTTCAATCAGAGCCACATGCACAAGCCCAGCACAAAACCTGCTTGGTGCACCAGGTGCTCCTTGCCCGGGCAGGCTGGGTGTGGTCCTCCTGAGACACCAACTCCTCCCGCAGGCAGACCAGGAGAGAGCAGACGTGGGGAGGAGAAGGGAAGGGGGTTATGAGAAGTCTAGAGAAGTTGCTTCAGTCAGGAGGCCAGTATGACAGCAACCTTGGCAGAGGCACAAATGAAATGCAGTGGTAAGACGACTAGCATGGGTAGATAGAGCAGACAGCTCATATGACTCAGAAACTGAACTTCTGCTAACTGAGCATTTCTTACTGTTCGGAAGTTATTCTGTGGCCTTCCCTGGCAGCCATTCCTGATTGTGCTTTGGATAGTTTATTAAAAATCAGTGACAGGAATAAACTGTCCTCCACAGTGTGATGAGAACAGGGGACTGAGCATACTTGACAATCTAAGTATGAGTTAGATACGATCAGTGATTCTATGTCTCTTTCACAGTCTCTTGGTATTTCTTCTGTTTGTTTCAGAATCGACCTGCTGGCCAACCAGGCCACCAAAGTAACTCTGGGCCGGTTACACTTCAGTGAAACCACTGCAAATAACATGAGGAAGAAAGGAAAACCGAATCCTGAGCAGAGGTCCTGGCCTCCCTGTGCATGCCCCGCGGGGCTGGGTGCTCCGACTGACTGGCAGAGCTGTCCAGAGCCCCTTGATCCTCTGGGCCCTGCCAGCGGGCATGCTGGGCCTCCCCCAGATGCTCCCCTCCTGTCTCTGACTCTCTCAGTTCATTAACACATCTCACTTACTCCCAGGCATCTTTCCCTCCATCCTACTCCCCACAACAACCTCTCCCAAAATCCGCTTGCCTTGCTTCCCTCTGTGATTCTCTGGAGTGACCATATGTTTATGTCTTGTTCCTGTCTGAGGGTTGAGAATTGGCTGCATTGCTCCAACTTTTGCTGGTCATGAGTTTAAGGCCCTGAGTCCTGCAGCTCTGTTACAGCCTCTTTTGATTAAAGAAGAAAATAAGTTTGCATTAATGAGTTAGATCTTTGGTTCTCACCGTGTCCCCGAACTAGCAGAGACAGCACCACCTAGACATTTCCTAGACACGCAGGTTCTCAGGCCTCACTGAAAACCTGATGAATCAATAATTTGGGGATGGAGCCCAGAAATATGTATTTTAACAAGCCCTCCAGATGTCTCTGATGCACACTTAAGTCTGGTTTTAGAACATGAGTTTGGAATTGGACAAAATTAAGTTTGAAATTTAATATTGCCATATACTAGCAGGGTGACCTTAAGCACATAATGTAACCCTCACTCATTTGCCCCTTCTGTAGAATGGGGACAATATCCGTATCGTACTCTAATAGGGCTGTTTTGTGGTTCCCAAAGAAATGATGTAGGTGAACTGCTGAGTCCAGCGTGTGACACATTTTCAGCACTGAGAGATAATAGCTGATAATAATGATGATAATGATTATTATTATTCAGGGAGAACTCTTGTACTCTGATGACTGGAAAATCTATAGAGTGCTACAGAGAAAGTTGGCAAAGTTTTTTCATGCAGTTCTTAAAGCAAAAGCTTCTCTAATAGGAATAGTTTTTATTTTGAGTTTTAAGAAATGGTGTGATTTAAAAAATGTCTCATGAATGCTACATATGAAGAAGGAATTGAAATAACAGTGATGAAGATTGCTTTGGGAGCAGCTGGAGGGGAGGGTCCAGGTCTTTGACTTAAGTCCTGGCAAGAGGATGCAGGAGGTGCAGGGCACATGGCCAGGAGCAGATCAGGCTGAGGAGGACCCGGGGTGGCTGGGTGAGCCCTGCTAGGTTGTCTTCCCCAAGGCCTAGGCTGTGTGGCATCGGTTAACCTGGCAAAGGGACCTCTAGAGGGGCTTTCTGTTGTTTCATGTTTGTAAGCAGTGCTATGTTGAGGGCCCAGGTGTGCAGCGGGTGAGGCCAGCACCCAGTCAGCACAGATGGGCCAGACACAGGACCCAACCAGCGGGTCCCCCCTGCTTTGGGGCCTGTAAACCAGCTCACACATACCTCAAACTGGGTAAAGGGCAGAACCCGAGCAGTAGTGAGTGAATCAACTGGTCTCTCATTTCCCAAGAGCCACCACTTAGAGCAGAATGGAAAATCTTTGAAAATGTAATTTTTAATCATGCAAACCCATCCGGGTCAATTCACTATTGATTAGCTTTTGGGTGGTGTCTGATTGCACAGATTGTGTCTTTGTCCCCTGCTGTGTTGACATCTTCTGTTGTTTCTGAATCAGGTACTTCATGTTGGTGGTTGGACTGTATGCCGCTGTGCAAGACCAGTTCCACCTGTTGGCTGCCCACATCTCTGAACGGATCATTGTGAGGGTAAGCTCAGTTCTTTGATTTTTCTGGATTCCGTATGCTTTTTCTCCATATGCATTTTCCATGACGTGCTTGAAGTATGCTGTTTCTCAATGGATGATGATGATAGCCATGGATATCATTATTCCAGTTCTCACTCAGTGGCTCTCAACCAGAAGAACCTGTGTCCCCCAAAGGTCATTTGGCAATGTCTGCAGACACTTTTGGTTGTCACAACTCAGGGTGCTCCTGGCATCCAGTGGGTAGAGGTGAGGAATGCTGCTCAACACCAGACAGTGTGCAGGACAGACTCACACGAAGAAGTGCCCTGCCTAAAATGTCTATAGTGCTGCCGTTGAGAAACCCTGGTTTTTACACTGTGTTCTAGGCACTGGACTAAATAATTTATATGTGATATCATTTTACATTGTGTCACTTTTTTTTTTTGAGTAGAAAAAAATGTTCGTTAATGAACCATGATTGTATTATTCATGCTTCTCCAGAGAAACAGAACCAATAGGATGGAGCTATATATGAAAGAGAGAAAGAGGAGGTTGGGAGAGAGATTTAAGGTTAAGGAATTGGCCCACACAATTAAGTGCCCTGCCTAAAATGTCTATAGTGCTGCCGTTGAGAAACCCTGGTTTTTACACTGTGTTCTAGGCACTGGACTAAATAATTTATATGTGATATCATTTTACATTGTGTCACTTTTTTTTTTTGAGTAGAAAAAAATGTTCGTTAATGAACCATGATTGTATTATTCATGCTTCTCCAGAGAAACAGAACCAATAGGATGGAGCTATATATGAAAGAGAGAAAGAGGAGGTTGGGAGAGAGATTTAAGGTTAAGGAATTGGCCCACACAATTTTGGAGGCTGACAAGTCCAAAATTTGCAGGGTAGGCTGGCAGGCTGGAGCTTCAGGGAAGTTGGTGTGGCAGTCCAAGTCCGAAGGCAATCTGGAGGCAGAACTCTTCCTTGGGGGAGGTCAGTCTTTTCTGTTAGGGCCTTCAAGGGATTGAAAGAGGCCCATCCACATTAGGGAGGGTAATCTGCTTTACTCAATGTCTTCTGATTTAAATGTTAATCTCATCTAAAACACGCCTTCACAGAAACACCTAGAATAATGTTTGACCAAATATCTGGGTACTGTGGTCTAGGACACATAAAATTAACCATCACAATGACCTAGGGTTTAATACGCTCTGATTTACTTATTACTTTCCTGTGTTTTCCAAATACACAATAATGACAATTTACTTGTATGATAGAAAATGTTCCATAAACACTTCAACACACAGCTTCCCTGGAGTCAGCCCCAAGCCTCAGTGCTCTTCCCAGGGCTCCCAGTGCCCCTCCGAGGGCTCCCACGGTTCTCACCAGTGTCCTTCTGTCACTGCTCTTCGTGCCCAGCATGTGACTTCCTCTGCTCAATGTCAGACTCTTAGAGGTCAGCAGTCAAGTTTTGCTCTTTGTTGACTCTCCTTGAAGCACGGGAAACGTTTTTCAATAATTGTCCAGTTGAACTGAGTTAAGAACTTCAAATGTTTTCTTCTGTAAGAGTCACCCGCAAAGGAGTTTTAGAAACTGGGATTTTAGTGAACGAAGGAAGATGTGGGAACCTGCATAAAGGCATTAATTTCAGCCCCAGTTTATATGCTGGTTTCTAAGGCACACACCCACCTGAGAGACATTGTGGGCAGTGGACTGAGCTCCTATTCCAGCTTCTTGGCAATATCAGCTTCATAAGATTTTCCTACTTCTATTAAAATTGCCTAAAAGTTATCAGTACTTTAATTGTGTCTGTGTTCCACAATTTCTTTGAGTTTTGTTGCTTATGCTTTAACTTCTCTTTTTCCTTTTTGCTAAGTGTAATATCGCTACACCTGCTTCACTTTTTTCTGGTAAGTTCCCATAAATGGATGGAATTCCTGTAAACTAAATCCATCTTGCTTTGATTTTCTTTTTTTTTTAATATCTTTTTTTAAATGAAGATACCATTGATATACACTCTTATGAAGGTTTCACATGAAAAACATTGTGGTTACTATATTCACCCATATTATCAAGTCCCCCCTATACCCCAATGAAGTCACTGTCCATCAGTGTAGTAAGATACCACAGAGTCACTACTTGTCTTCTCTGTGCTACACTTTCTTCCTTGTGAACCTCCCCCACACGATGTGTACTAATCATAATACCCCTCAATCCCCTTCTCCCTCCCCACCCACCCTCCCACACCCTTCCCCTTTGGTAACCGCTAGTCCCTTCTTGGAGTCTGTGAGTGTGCTGCTGTTTCGTTCCTTCAGTTTTGCTTCATTGTTACACTCCACAAATGAGGAAAATCATTTGGGACCTGTCTTTCTCCAACTGGCTTATGTCACTCATTATAGCCTTTAGCACCATCCATGTTGTTGCAAATGGTAGGGTTTGTTTTCTTCTTATGGCTGAATAGTATTCCATTGTGTATATGTATCACATCTTCTTTATCCATTCATCTGCTAAGGGACACTCAGGTTGCTTCCATATCTTGGCTATTGTAAATAGTGCTGTGATAAACATAGGGGTGCATATGTCTTTTTGAATCTGAGAACTTGTTTTCTTTGGGTAAATTCCTAGGAGTGGAATCCCCAGGTCAAATAGTACTTCTATTTTTAGTTTTTTGAGGAACCTCCATATTGCTTTCCACAGTGGTTGAACTAATTTACATTTCCACCAGCAGTGTAGGAGGGTTCCCCTTTCTCCATATCCTCACCAGCATTTGTTGTTCCTAGTCTTTTGTATGTTGGCCATCCTAACTGGTGTGAAATTATATCTCAAAGTGGTTTTAATTTGCATTTCCATGATAATTAGCAATGTGGAGCATCTTTTCAGGTGCCTGTTGGCCATCTGAATTTGTTCTTTGAAGAAGTGTCTGTTCATATCCTCCACCCATTTTTTTCATAGCTCTTGCTTTGATTTTCAATACAAGTTTGGAAATTATTTTCCAAAGATGAAATATGGTGCTCTCAAGACACAATTAAAATTGTACTTTAAAATGATGTCTACTGCTTGAAATATAAATATTGAAAGCAAAGTATGGGATGACATTAACCATACTACTGTGTTGTGGTAAAGAACTTAAACTCTGCCAAACATGTAAGAAACTGATTTTTGAAACAACAACCAGCGGAGCAAATAAAGATGCTCCAAGTGTTGTCTGTCCCTTGAAATGTGGCTGGTAGTTCTGTGTTTTTCTTGTGCAGCTTTCCTTCCATGGTATCTCAGATGGTTGGGATTCTTAAAGGGTATTTACTCCAGACTCCCACTGAAAGCAAGAGTTTTTTCCCATGATGTCATGCTGTGTAAAGATCTGTCCCGGCCCAAACACCTTCAGTGACAGGAGGTGGAGCCTGCGTGCAGAGAGAAAAGAAAAGAAGAACCTGGAAGTCTGGTTGCTCAAAGAGGAAAGAAATTCAGAATCTGTGAAAGGGGAAGGGAATCTGGAGATCAAGAAACTATAAAACTGCTGTTGGGCAATCCAGTGCAGGGAGATCTCCCTGTGCGCTTGGTAAGACCTCAACCCTGACTCGGATAGAGAAAGAATTCATGAGCGGGTCGAGCAGGTACAGGCAGAGTAGTTTAATAAGGCAAAGTATACACTCCAGAGGTGAGCATCCCAGTGTGTCACATTTAATTACGTTCTTTACATCCAGAACTGCTGAGGTGCAAGAGAGTAGAAACTCATCCATGGTCACACAGCTTGTAGATCTTGGAGCCTGGGTTACAGCCCAGTTCTCACAGACCCCGAAGCTCACAGAGCAGAGGAAGTGGTGAGAAGGCCTCCATGCCCAAACGTGATCAGGACCCAAGGACATAGGGGCCCCTGCCTCGCACACAGGAACGGCTCCGCACACTTCGCTGAATGAATGATTGGTCGCAGCTGTGGATGGGAGTCTTGGCAGCCACAAAAACATAAAGCTGTTGGCAGCTGGGACTGCAGCTGTGTGAGGCAGGCTGGCCACCGCTGAGAATGCTGGGGGCATGAGGTAACAGGTAACCATGGGCCGGGCAGCCCTGGGAGGGGCCATGTCACCCTGGGTCTTTGAAGTGGCAAAGGACATGCTAACTCCGATAGGGAAAATTGTTCATGCCCACATAGATGGCTGTTAACCTCAGGCCTGGGGACAGGATCTTTCCATTTGAGGAAGTGAGTCTTTCCTTGCTTGCCTTGAGCTACTGAAACAAAGGGCCCTCTGTGTAATTCTTTTAATCAATTAAAAATAATAAGCCACCTATTAGTAGAAATCCTTAAAGTGCATCTCAAAGTTTTAGTGGAGGTGAAGTAATGTTGACAATGAGATAAAACACTGTTCAGATGTCCAGGGCGTGGGCTGGGCTACGTGCCTGCTAGCAGGCAAGCCACAGGCTGCATTTTGTGGGGCCTGATCTAACCTGTGGCAAACGAGGCTCTTCTGGGGTGGAGGCAGGTGGGACCTTCTCCTTCTGCCATAAGCCAAGGGCAGAGGTTCCTGTCCATCCGTCAGCAGGTTTAGGGCGGCCTTGGACACCTCATCGATGCCACTGGTGACTGCTTTTGCTGCACTAGTAAATGTGATTTAAGAAAAGTCTGGAAACCTAGGTTGCTTTTTGTTTCTGATTTCTTGTAGGAAGAAATAAAGGTAGACGATGCCATTCTTCTCAGAGTTAGCAGATTAGATATGAACGTGCTGCTCTGAGCTGAGTAACTGATGCTGGCGTCTGGCAGCCTGCTAGTCACAGGGATGCTTTGAATCATTCACCTGGTGTCAGGTTTCTGCATTTCCTCTGGCAGCCCCTGCCAGGCAGTTGTCAGGCTGCTGTAAGTGCACACCAGGGCAATGTGGGAGAGCTCCACCGGTTAACGTTCTGTTACCAGAACTCTGTTAATTAACACCTCCTCGAACCCAAAACAAAATGATAACTTCACTCATAATGGCAACATAAGGAGAAGTTGAAAAATTTTGCAATTCATATTAAGTATGAATACTAAAAACATTACATTTTACTTTGTATAGCTTGGATGTCATGTTACTAAGTTTTTATTTTTAAAAAGTGATTTGATTGCTTTCTTCTTGCCCTAATTTTTGTTGAAAGAGAATGCCCTATTCTGTAAGTGTGCTGGCTAACACAGGGTTATCCAAACAATGGGAGGAGTAGTAGCCATAACAGCACTAGCCTTCTCCCTGTCCCCCAAATTGGAGCTATCTTATTGCTATTATTTCATTCTAACAGCAAAATGCATGTGACTCCGGGGGGGAAATCCCAGGCAAATACCTTTGAAACCGAAATCAGTCAAAGGGAGAAATAAAGTTTATTTCTTACAACCAGTCATCCACTTCTGTTCCCCAATGTGTCTCATGATCAGGCTCCAGAAGAAGAGCCCCCACCCAACCTCTCCAGTCCAGATAAGCCCTTGCTCAACTTTGTAATTACCTGTTCATAAGGAGATGGGCTACTCCTCTCCACCCCCTGGAAACACCTATTTATGGAGATGCACTAAAGCCAGGAGAGAGATTCTGGAAATACTCCAAGTTTACCCACATGCAGCAGTGAAAATGAATGCAGACTTTTGAATCTATTTAATCATTGACAGTTTAAACCAACCGAGAGAAAGACTAGGTTTCAGAAATGGTGATATTGTTTGAATCAGTGAGTTTTTTAAATGTCCACAGAACACATTTCTTGCTGCTGAGGTTCTAGAGGGCTCTGTGGAAATACATGCATCATGGGTAGGGCAGGGGTCGGCCAGCATACGTTCTACAAAACAGCCAGACGTGCCCTCTTGGGCTATGGCCTGGGTCTGTTAGTTTGAATTCCAAACTGAAAGACAAAACAGTGGGCAATAAAAGACACTACAAGACCTGACTGCGTTACATGGAGAACTTAAAATTACATTTAGCAAATCCAGGTTCATTTAAGGCCTAAGAATTATTCTTCTCAAATAGCAGAAATTCACATAAGGGCAATTGTATGAGGATTGAGCTAGATGTGTTTGAGGGCCCCCAGGGGGGATTCAGGATACCAAGTTTGTCAGAATTTTCTTTGGAGAGAGCATGATGGGCAAGACCCAGTAATTGTTATGGGCTGTCAATCAAAACAGTTTAGAAATATGGTTCTATAGTGTAAATTGACCAATTTAATGGATATTAAGGTTTACTTAAAAGAACATATTTATTTTTCAGGTCCTGTTTTTGGGAGCATTCTCCAGGGAAGTCCCTTCAGACTGTCCTTGTTAATGACTAGGTCTCCTTAGCAGCACTTCCTCGGCAGACACATGACTAAGTCTGGTGTGAAGTGCTGTGTTACATGCAGGAGGGGTGACATTTTTGTCTGCCTTTCAGAGACACACCAGGGTTCTTAGTTTTGAGAACTAATAAATTATTCCAGTTTCTTTTCCAGCATCATAGAAATGGGCACGTCCCCAGTAACTCCTCCTTTACTGTGTGCCAGTGAGTGGGAAACCACATCCAGGGCAGGGAAGACAAAAGAAATAATGCAGTCCCAAGGATGGTGAGGGACGGGGGTAGAGCAAAGCCATCCCAGGTACCATCTCCATTTTCACTGGCCCTTGTCCATTTCTGACCACACACCTCCCCTTCATCCCTAGCGCGCGCGCGCACACACACACACACACACACACACACACACACACACACACGCGCGCACGCACCTCTGGGAGTTCAGATGAATTTTTATTTATCCAGAGCAATGTTTGTTTCATTCTGCAACTGGGATTCAGCAGAACCTTCTGTCAACTGTAGAAGGAGTAATTCATGCCAGGTGCATATGGCATAAGGAATCCCCTGGAGAGTTTGTAAAAACACAGATACCTGGGTCGCATCCCCACATTTTTTGATTCAGTAGGTTGGAGATGCTCAGGAATGTGCATTTCTAACAAGCTTCCAGGAGATGCAGATACTGCTGACCTTTGGACCACACTTTGAGCAGCACTGGTAGAGAGCATTTCTGGGCCCATTGTCCACGGCCCTTTCACAAGGTGCAAAAGCTGATTTCTTATAAGCTGCCTTCCTCCCCTCCGGCTTTCCTATGGTAGAGATGCCTGAACACCAATAAAGCAAAGAAATTCTAGCTTTGCATTCCAAACTTAGAGCAAGCATCAAATTACTCTAATTGTCGGTTCCTATTTCCAGGCGCCTGCAGGGGGCACCATTTACACTATTCTTGGTGAATGGAATTTCCCCTAGAAACATGCAGCCTTGCAGGGGTGTTGCTGAGGAGAGCAAATGAATCTATTACAGGCTGCAAGGTTGCTATGCACAGAAGAGTGTGTGCTGACGATGAGTTGGAGACTATTCGTTTTTGTTTTTGCAAAATGCTCCTCCTACATACGTGATCTCACTAAATGCCCACAACCCTGTGAGAAAGGTAAAGAAGTCGTCATCTCTATTTTCAGAGGAAAACTGGTTCCGAAAGAAAGGCTAAGCCTGTTTGTGTCGTAACACAGCCTAAAATGTTCAGGTCTTCCCTAAATATATGAGGCAGTGGGATAAATAATACAAGTATTTCAGAAACTTTAATTCATTTTGGTGTTTGCTACCAAGTGACCATTATTAGGCCACATGGGAATACATGTTCATAAGTCCAGAAGGAGGTAGTACACTGCACTTTGCTTTGGCACCTTAAGATTGGGGATACCAGAGAAGGGAAAAAAGTTCACAGATTTTGTAATACCATTTCGCACTACTGATGAGGATGACCCACCCCCCCATAGGGCTATATTCTTAGAAAATAGGAGATCTGTGGCCCTTTCCAAAATGATTTGAACATATTTTAGGGATCTGAGTTTTCATCTGATGAAAGTCAACTGAGATTGTTGCATTTTTTCAAAAAATTAAATCTACTTGTATCTACTGTTCCAACCTATCAAGTTACCAACATGTTGTAATTACCCACAAAGCTCATAAGGAAACAAAAGAAAATCCATCACTGTTCTGTTTGGACTTAGTTGATTGATCCCCATGAAAGGATTTGAGCCAAAACCAAGTTAGCATTTACCACCAAGGCGGCTCTGAGGATTTGCAGCAAAGCTCTTGTTGAAATGAATGCAAAACAATGTTCAACATTATTACTTTATACTCTTGAACTGCTTTTGTCTCTCAGATGTCAATGGTTGAGTCTTCCAAGTTGCTCAGGGTTCATATAGGTGGGAATGAAAGAGGAAGTTGAAGACACCTAAATGCTCTTTAATTGAACCCAAACTAAGGACTAAATTTTGTGGTTTCTTTTATTCCATTAAATTTTGTAGCACATAGGAAAAACATTCAAACAATACCAAGAGAGTAGATAGTGCACAGTGACCCTCCCTCTCACCCTCTGCATCTCCCAGTTCCCATCCTTGAGGAAACCATTGGCATTGGTTTCTTGGTATTCTCTGGAGATGATGCATCTTCAAGGGCTGCGTTCACAGTGTCTGTGTACTGCCAGAAAGGCGAAAAACAAAGACACTGCTTTAGCGCCAATTTCTCAGGCGATCAAGGGCCCTACTGTTTATCTCAGTTTGTGACAACCTGCCTCACACAAAATCGGATATCGAAGGACAGACCATACTGAAAACACATTAATTTTGTTGTGAGGATTTTGAGAGATTCAGAGATCCCTACTTGAAGATACTTGGAAATACGTTCAGTACCTGCAGGAAGTGGTGAGGGGAGAAGGTAGTACATGGAAAATTCTTTGGCAAAGAGTTTTATTTCAGAGTAAAATCTCCAGGACTTTGTCTAGTCTATAGCTCCACTTGAATTTTCTTTGAAGACTCACATTTGGCCAGCGCTACTTCTCATAAACAAAGTTAGAACCATTACTTAATAATGAAAGGAAGTATAATTCCAGCTTCAAATTTTTATGGTTTGTGGCCTTGAGCAATTTGTTTTGCTTTTGAGAGTCTCAGTATCAATAAAATGAAAATGACAGTACATATCTCATAGAACTGGGTGTGGATTAGTTCACAACAGATGGAGCTGTTACTCATCTTTTGGTATCATCTGTGTGTAGGAAATAGTTGAAGTATGTTTAATATGTTTGTATTGTCATTAGCTTGTCAATTGCATATGAAAGTGCTTTGAAGTATAAAAGAGCTAGCTAAATGCAAGGTATTTTTATTTATCTGGGCTTTAATAATCTTGCAATATTGTTCTGGTGTAAACTTCTGGTTTTAAATAATCATTATCCCTGAAAAGATAGTAATTTAAATTCCCTTTTTCCTTATCATCCACCCAGGTAACTGACACATTCTCATTCAAATAGATGCAATAAAGACTGGGTGTTCCAAGCCATGGTATACTGAGCTCCTGCTATGGATGCACAGCAGTTAAGGAAACCCTCTGGTCTCCTGGCCACACAGTTATTTAGATATGTCAGAATGTGCCACGCCACGTATGATTCTCAGGTGAAAGACTGAGATAACATTCTGTTTTCCTTTGCTCTGAGGAAAAAAATGATGATCTATTCCTGCTAGCATGACTTTAAGTGTAACATATTTATGTATTTTTTCCAGGCCTCTAACCCTGGGCAGTTTGAGAATGACAGTGATGCATTATGGCAGCGAGGCCAAGTCCCAGACGCTGTTGTCTGTCATGGTCGAGTGGGAATAAACACAGAGGCACCCGATGAAGCTCTGGTTGTTTGTGGCAACATGAAAGTGACGGGGACAATTATGCATCCCTCTGACAGCCGGGCAAAGGAAAACATCCAGGAGGTGAGCACAGGGCAAGCCTGGGGCATCTCCTGGGTCAGGTACGCCGGCCTTCTGACACACCTCACACAGGGCATTGCTCCGCATCACCTGTTGGTGTGAGACGAGTGTGATGCTTTACAGTTACGAATGCTGGAGCTGATAGGCATCGCTGTCGAAACTGTAAAGCAGCTCCTACCCCAGAGAGTGGATTTACCTGACAGGAGCAGCGGGCAGTGACAGCATAACCCCAGCCTCACAAGCAGGAAGTCTCTGAGTTATTTTCCACAAGGCAGCGCCCCTCCTTCCAAGCACTGCTGACCACTGGAGCTTGCCTTTTCCCTTCAATCTCCCAGTTCATTTTCTGAGCACTATGCCCATATTTTTCCTGGACCTCTCCCACCTCTTCCTCCTCGGGTCCCTGGCTCCACCCTGCCGGCCATTGCCTGGGCCACTCAGCACCCGTCTCTCAGGAGCAGTTAGAGAAGCTCCTCAGCTCTCACTTGGTCAATCCCATTGTGCAGGGCTCCGGGCCAAGACCTTCTCCCTCTGTGGAGAGTCAGTCACCTAGTAGAAGTCAGAAATCAGGCCTAGAAATCAGGATGCTGCTCCTCTGCTTTGCATTCCCTTCAGCTGTCTGACCCTCAATAAAATGCTCAACCCCACCCAGACTCAGTATCTGCCCCTACAGATGGAAATGGTAAATGGTGCCTCTTCCAGATCCCACCAAGGTTTTATATATATATATTTGTTGTTGTTGTTCCTTCTGTTTAGCTTCTTTTTTTCTTTGGTATCACTAATCTACAATTACATGAAGAACATTATGTTTACTAGACTCCCCCCTTCACCAAGTTCCCCCCACATACCCCCTTAGTCACTGTACATCAGCATAGTAAGATGCTGTAAAATCACTACTTGTCTTCTCTGTGTTGCACAGCCCTCACCATGCCCCCCCTACATTATACATACTAATTGTAATGCCCCCTTTCTTTTTTCCCACCCTTATCCTTCCCTTCCCACCCGTCCTCCCCAGTCCCTTTCCCTATGGTAACTGTTAGTCCTTTTTTGGGTTCTGTGATTCTGCTGCTGTTTCGTTCCTTCAGTTTTCCTTTGTTCTTATACTCCACATATGAGTGAAATCATTTGGTACTTGTCTTTCTCCTCCTGGCTTATTTCACTGAGCATAATACCCTCTAGTTCCATCCATATTGTCGCAAATGGTAGGATTTGTTTTCTTCTTGTGGCTGAATAGTGTTCCACTGTATGTATGTACCACATCTTCTTTATGCATTCATCTACTGGTGGACACTTAGGTTGCTTCCATTTTTTGGCTATTGTAAATAGTCCTGCAATAAACATAGGGGTGCATCTGTCTTTTTCAAATTGGGCTGCTGCATTCTTAGGGATTCCTAGAAGTGGAATTCCTGGGTCAAATGGTATTTCTATTTTGAGCTTTTTCAGGAACCTCCATACTGCCTTCCACAATGGTTGAACTAATTTACATTCCCACCAGCAGTGTAGGAGGGTTCCCCTTTCTCCACAACCTCGCCAACATTTGTTGTTGTGTGTCTTTTGAATGGTGGCCATCCTTATTGGTATGAGGTGATATCTTATTGTGGTTTTAATTTGCATTTCTCTGATGATTAGTGATGTGGGACATCTTTTCATGTGTCTGTTGGCCATCTGAATTTCTTCTTTGGAGAACTGTCTGTTCAGCACCTCTGTCCATTTTTTAATTGGATTGTTCGCTTCTTGTTTTTTTGAGGTGCGTGAGCTCTTTATATGTTTTGGACGTCAACCCTTTATCAGATCTGTCATTTATGAATATATTCTCCCATACTGTAGGATACCTTTTTGTTCTCTTGGTGGTATACTTTGCTGTACAGAAGCTTTTCAGCTTGATATAGTTCCATTTGTTCATTTTTGTTTTTGTTTCCCTTGCCCAGGGAGATATGTTCATGAAGAAGTCGCTCGTGTTTATGTCCAATAGATTTTTGCCTATGTTTTTTTCTAAGAGTTTTATGGTTTCATGGCTTACATTCAGGTCTTTGATCCATTTCAAATTTACTTTTGTGTATGGGTTAGACAATGATCCAGTTTCATTCTCTTACATGTAGCTGTCCAGTATTGCCAACTCCAGCTGTTGAAGAGGCTGTCATTTGCCCATTGTATGTCCATGGCTCCTTTATCATATATTAATTGACCACATATGTTTGGGTTAATGTCTGGACTCTATTCTGTTCCACTGGTCTGTGACTCTGTTCTTGTGCCAGTACCAAATTGTCTTGATTACTGTGGCTTTGTAGTAGAGCTTGAAGTTGGAGAGTGAGATCCCTCCCACTTTATTCTTCCTTCTCAGGATTGCTTTGGCTATTTGGGGTCTTTGGTGGTTCCATATGAATTTTAGAACTATTTGTTCCAGTTCGTTGAAGAATGCTGTTGGTAATTTTATAGGGATTGCATTGAATGTGTAGATTGCTTTGGGCAGGATGACCATTTTGACAATATTAATTCTTCCTAGCCAGGAGCATGGGATGAGTTTCCATTTGTTAGTGTCCTCTTCAATTTCTCTTAAGAATGTCTTGTAGTTTTCCAGGTATAGGTCTTTCACTTCCTTGGTTAGGTTTATTCCTAGGTATTTTATTTTTTTTGATGCAATTGTGAATGGAATTGTTTTCCTGGTTTCTCTTTCTATTAGTTCATTGTTAGTGTATAGGAAAGCCTCAGATTTCTGCATATTAATTTTGTATCCTGTAACTTTGCTGTATTCTGATATCAGTTCTAATAGTTTTGGAGTGGAGTCTTTAGGGTTTTTTATGTACAATATCATATCATCTGCAAATAGTGACAGTTTGACTTCTTTACCAATATGGATTCCTTGTATTTCTTTGTTTTGGCTAATTGCCGTTCCTAGCACCTCCAGTACTATGTTGAATAACAGTGGGGAGAGTGGGCATCCCTGTCTTTTTCCCGATCTTAGAGGAAATGCTTTCAGCTTCCCGCTGTTCAGTATGATGTTGGCTGTGGGTTTTTCATATATGGCCTTTATTATGTTGAGGTACTTGCCCTTTATACCCATTTTGCTGATGGTTTTTATCATGAATGGATGTTGAATTTTGTGGAATGCTTTTTCAGTGTCTATGGAGATGATCATGTGGTTTTTGTCCTTCTTTTTGTTGATGTGGTGGATGATGTTGATGGATTTTCGAATGTTCTACCATTTTTGCATCCCTGGGATGAATCCCACTTGGTCATGGTGTATGATCCTCTTGATGTACTTTCGAATTCAGTTTGGTAATATTTTGTTGAGTATTTTTGCATCTATGTTTATCAGGAATATTGTCTGTAATTTTCTTTTTTGGTGGGGTCTTTGCCTGGTTTTGATATTAGGGTGATGTTGGCTTCATAGAATGAGTCTGAAAGTATTCCCTCTTCTTCTATTTTTTGGAAAACTTGAAGGAGAATGGGTATTGTGTCTTCTCTGTGTGTCTGATAAAATTCTGCAGTAAATCCGTCTGGCCCGGTAGTTTTGCTCTTGGGTAGTTTTTTGATTACTGATTCAATTTCTTTGCTGGTAATTGGTCTGTTTAAATTTTCTGTTTCTTTCTTGGTCAGTCTTGGAAGGTTGTATTTTTCTAGGAAGTTGTCCATTTCTTCTAGGTTTTCCAGCTTGTTAGCATATAGTTTTTTGTAGTATTCTCTAATAATTCTTTGTATTTCTGTGGGGTCTGCCATGATTTTTCCTTTCTCATTTCTGAATTTGTTGATGTGTGTAGATTCTCTTTTTCTTTTTATAAGTCTGGCAGGGGGCTTATCTATTTCATTTATTTTCTCAAAGAATCAGCTCTTGCATTGATTTTTTTCTATTGTTTTATTCTTCTCCATTTTATTTATTTCTTCTCTGATCTTTATTATGTCCGTCCTGCTGACTTTAGGCCTCATTTGTTCTTCTTTTTACAATTTCGATAATTGTGTCTTTAGACTATTCATTTGGGATTGTTCTTCCTTTTTTAAATAGGCCTGGATTGCTATATACTTTCCTCTTAAAACTGTTTGCGCTGCATCCCACAGAAGCTGGGGCTTTGTGTTGTTGTTGTCATTTGTTTCCATATGTTGCTTGATCTCTATTTTGATTTGGTTGTTGATCCATTGATTATTAAGGAGCATGTTGTTAAGCCTCCATGCGTTTGTGAGCCTTTTTGCTTTCTTTGTACAATTTATTTCTAGTTTTATACCTTCGTGGTCTGAGAAGTTGGTTGGTAGGATTTCAGTCTTTTGGAATTTACTGAGGCCCTTTCTGTGGCCTAGTATGTGGTCTATTCTGGAGAATGTTCCATGTGCACCTGAGAAGAATGTGTATCCTGTTGCTTTTGGATGTAGAGTTCTGTAGATGTCTCTTAGGTCCATCTGTTCTAGTGTGTTGTTCAGTACCTCTCTGTCCTTACTTATTTTTTGTCTGGTGGATTTGTCCTTTGGAGTGAGTATTGTGTTGAAGTCTCCCAAATGAATGCATTGCATTCTATTCCTCCTTTAATTCTGTTAGTATTTGTTTCATACATGCTGGTGCTCCTGTGTTGGATGCATATATATTTATAATGGTTATATCCTCTTGTTGGACTGAGCTCTTTATCATTATGTAATGTCCTTCTTTATGTCTTGTGACTTTCTTTGTTTTGAAGTCTATTTTGTCTGATACTAGTACTGCAACTCCTGCTTTTTTCTCCCTGTTGTTTGCATGAAATATCTTTTTCCATCCCTTGACTTTTAGTCTGTGCATGTCTTTGGGTTTGAGGTTAGTCTCTTGTAAGCAGCATATCAATGGGTCTTGCTTTTTTATCCATTCTATTACTCTGTGTCTTTTGATTGGTGCATTCAGTCCGTTTACATTTAGGGTGATTATTGAAAGATATGTACTTATTGCCATTGCAGGCTTTAGGTTTGTGGTTACCAAATGTTCAAGGTTAGCTTCTTTACTGTCTTACTGTCTAGCGTAACTCACTTACTGAGCTATTATAAACACAGTC